TTCAGTCAGCACAGAAAAAAAAAGAACTGGAAGGACACTTGAGCCAGTTTAACTATATTAGAGTAGTAATTATATTAGAGAAGAACGCGACAGCATAATAGGACCGTGGTCGTATCGCCATCCCAACTGCAAACGTAGCTTCGCTTCTAGGTCGACACCTAAACCGTGCCGCAAAAAAAAAAAAAAAAAAAAGCCGAATGTTCCGACTCACGCCGGCCCCTATACAGGGGCGGCGCCAGTGGTGTGGGGGAAGGGAGTACCTTAAAATGTTGTCGCCTCCCACCTCCCCTTGCCCCTCAAGAAGCGAACATAGTCAAAACGCTGCACTTAAATTTCCTGTCTCTCAGCCCTCCTGAAAAACCGTCGCTTATCGTGGGTTCACCGCAGAATAATGCTGGCGCTGAGCCTGCTTCTATATTTGTTCATACGGCGTGACAGAACACTGAAAGCATTCCCGTTAACTTTAGCTCCTGTTATAGTTACCGCATACTACATTTCGGATAAGCGGCCTAAAGGTAACATATACAGTCATTCTAGCACCCGTATACGCCCTTTGCGCCATCTCCCGGGTTATCTCTCACGCCACCGAACTACCTCCGAGATGTGCGTACACCAACGCTAAATGATTTGCATATATAGCTCGCCGCTAATACGCTGGGTGATGTATGCGTGGTGGCTGAGCCGCTAAACGCGTCGCGCAATAAAGCGAGAGGTTGCACGTTGGAAAGTCACCACCAACACCGGAATTTCTATTAAAGAAGCTGTTTGAAGCTATCAAGTTAAAGCTTACGCAAGTCAAATATCGTGCAGAATCTCTGCAGACTTGTCTGAGGGGTCTGTAAGCGTAGAGTATGCCGAAAATTTTACGCTTCCGATCTTCCCAGAAACATTTTGTCCAGCGTCATCGGCGCGGCGTCTTGCTCCTTTCTAGCATTCGCCAGCGTCAAGAACCTCTTCTGTCTGTGACGACCCTATAGGAAGGACATTCCATGGCCACTGAAAGCGTGTTTAAAATAAATTTTCTCGCTGCCGGAATTTCTATGGTGTCTTTGAATGCTAATGTTCCTAAAATGAGCTTTTATCCCCACATTACGAAAGACTTCACCAACGTCTTGACAGAAAGTTTCCATTTTTTGGTTTTTTTATCTCTCGTACTCATGTGGTTAAAATACATTGGCCCTCACCCAACGTTGATGCTTAGCTGAGTGGGCAAGACACTCGCCTTTGAACCATGAGGCCCCAGGTTCGAAGCTCTACGCCGCTAACCTTTGTTTTTTTACTATTTTCTTACAGAAGTACTTATTACATTTCAAAACCCCATGGTATTCAATTTTCTAAACAGATTCCCACTTCGAAATGATCTCCAAGATGTGCTGGTTGCTCAGTCTGTAGACGGACAAACACACTTAGGTGGTTGTGACACTTACCTTGATAAACAAAACGATCTTCCTTCCTTCTTTTTGTTTCAGGTTTGGTGAGCCTGTTTCTCTTGCCCTATTCCACAGCACAAGGTAGCCAGCCGGTTTAAAGACTGGTTAACCACCCTATACTTCTGCTTCTTTTTTCTTCCCTTCCTTTCTCCCGGAATGAAGCTTCCCCTGATGCGTTTGCTTTCCCGCACTACATGTCGAAAAGTAGTCGAAAATGTTGAGGCCCTTATCACCCCTGATAAGGTTCAACTTTTGTCTGACGTCACAACTTGCAACGAAGGTTATATTGGGCGTTTGTATTAAAGCCTCCCCAGCTGAAGCTCCCCCTGATGCATTTGCTTTCCCGCAATGCATGGCAAAAAGTGGTCGAAAAAGTTTAGACTTTTATCACCTTTGATAAGGCTCAATTTTTGTCTGACGTCACAATTGTAACGAAGGTTATACTGTGCGTTTATATGAAGCCTCCCCAGCTGAAGCTCTCCCTGATGCATTTTCTTTCCCGCAATACGTGTCAAAAAGCAGTTAGAAAAGTTTAGGCCCTTATCACCCCTGATAAGGGCCAACTTTGGTCTGACGTCACAATTGCAACGACGGTTATACTGTTCGTATATATTGAAGCTTCCCCAGCTGAAGCTCCCCCTGGCGCATTTGCTTTCCCCCAATGCATGTCGAAAAGCGGTAGAAAAAAGTTAGGCCCTTATCACCCCTGATAAGGCTCAATTTTTGTCTGACATCACCACTTGCAACAAAGGTTATACTGCACGTTTATATTAAAGCCTCCCGAGCTGATGCATCCCCTGATGCATTTGCTTTCCCGCAATGCATGTCAAAAAGATGTCGGAAAAGTTTAGGTCCTTATCACCCCTGATAAGGGCCAACTTTGGTCTGACGTCACAATTGCAACCACGGTTATACTGTTCGTTTATATTGAAGCTTCTCCAGCTGAAGCTCCCCCTGGCGCTTTTGCTTTCCCCCAATGCATGTCGAAAAGCGGTAGAAAAAAGTTAGACCTTATCACCCCTGATAAGGCTCAACTTCTGTATGACGTCACAACTTGAAGCAGTGGACCTACTATTGCATCTTTTCGTTTCGCAGATGTCTGAAAGGGCTAGAAAAGCCTGATGACGTCACACAAAAGTTGAGCCTTATCAGGGGTGATAAAGGCCTGAACTTTTCGACCACTCTCCGACATGTATTGCGGGAAAGCAAATGCATCAGGTGAAGTTTTAGTAGGGAGCCTTCAATAAAAACACATGGTGTAACCTTTGTTGCAAGTTGTGACGTCAGACGAAATTTGAGCCTTATCAGGGGTGATAAGAGCCCCAACTTTTTCGTCCGCTTTTCGACATGCATTTCGCGAAAGCAAATGCATCCGGGGGAAGTTTCAGTCGGGAGCCTTCAATAAAAGCACACGGTATAACATTTGTTGCAAGTTCTGACGTCGGACAAAAGTTTAGTCTTATCAGTGGTGATAAGGGCCTCAACTTTTTCGACTGCTTTTGTTACATGCACTGCGGGAAAGCCAACGCATCAGGCGAAGCTTCAGTTCGGAGGCACCCACGCGCACAAGAGGTCCGTCTTTGCACAGCGTCAAGTCGCAATAAAGTTGAGCCGCTATCGCAGAGTTTCTTACAGTGAACGCCACCTCCATCCTGCAGTTTGTAACCTCGGGACATTTCCTCCATATCCATTTACTTGCACTGCATTACCATTTTTACTCGACTAATAAAGATATAATAACGTCTTCATTTATTTACACTACTTGAAAAAGAGATCGTGAGCAAAGTTTCTATATACGTAGATGCTATAGAAGCTGTCTCGGTGATTAAAAAGTGTCTGTCCGTCCATCCATCTCTTTGTCACTTAATACAAATGGCATTGAAGAAACAAATATTATAAAACAAAAATAAAACTTATAGACTACGTTGCGTTTCGAACGTACATCCTCGCGGTCCAAAGGCGAGTGTCTTATCCACTGTGCTGAAGGCCTAGGCATGCACAACATCACCATTTCTAAACCTTGTGTATGCGCCATAGAGAAATTCCTGTATCAAATAAACAAAACTTTTGAAGGCTACACTGAGTTTTGAACCTAGAACCCCGCGCTCCAAAGGTCTTACCCACTGGGCTAAAGACACAGGCTTGCTGGACGTATGTATCTCTGAATCTTCTGAATCTGCTAAAAAGGAAATACGCGAATAAAATAAAGGAAAACTTCGAGGCTGTGCTGAGTATCGAAACCATGGTCCCACACTCCAATGTCGAGGGTCTCATCCACTGGGCTAAAGAAGCACGCTTGCAGAAGTCAGTGAAGACAATTTATCTTGAGAGTAATTTTTTTCTGCCATATATTTCTGGTGTCAGTAAGCAGCCGAAGTAATGCTCTTGTAACCAAGCCTAGCTTGGCTAACCTGCCAGCCTCTCTCCTTTTTTTATCTCTGTCTCCCGCATTCATCCTGGTCCGGAAACCAGGATGAACTTTCCTTCAACTAGAATACTTTTGTTCCCAAAAATCCCTGCGGATTTCCCTGTGCAGTCATGCTATGAATGGGTGACTGTCATTTCTCCCTTTCATAAACCTTCGCTAGCTTGCGGGATTCCGCAGAACTCATTCGAAGTAGCAAAACACACCGATAACAGCATTCATTAAGAAAGTAACACCTTTGGGTAGCTTCGTATAGCGGTGTTCCTCACGTGAACAATATTCAACGAATTTTCAAATCCCCAAGTAATCGCTAAATAGGGTGCTTCCAATTGGGGTCATGCGTTACCTGTGTGATGTGAAGACCCAGAGTTAGGCTCATTAGAAACATCTCCCTTTTTTGTCACAGAACTGCTATTCGCAGAGCTGACGCAAATAAACGACCTTCCATTGGCACAAGGGTACAAGAAAGACGATAACAGCAACATATAATCCTTCAAACATATGTATTTTGAACAAGGGAAAGCTAATGACTTTAATACAATAAATAGGCCAAGAAACAATAGCATCGTGACCTGATGTAATGACCTTGATCTTGACACAAATATTCGCATATTCTGTTCTTGATTTTACGAGCACACTTTGCCATGGATCTTCCTCATGTACACCATGGAATATAATTGCAGTGTTTTCTTTATTATAAAGCCGTCGCAACAGACACCTTATGACAAGCACAGAATCATCGCTCGATTTAGTTGGCTGCATATCTCCATTTGCTTGTGAAATTTATGACAAGATAGAAGCTTTCACGATTATTGTTAATATCACCAAGATTAAAACAAAACGTGATTCAAGCACACCGTTCAAACTTACACAACGTGCCTCGGGCTGTTGCTGGGTTTTAACTTTATTTATCATTGCCACAAGTACAGTGCCGTTTCAGTATATTCTGCGGTATCACAGCTCCCATCATGTCGCCAACACGGCTGCGACGACTAGACTTACTGAATGCGACATGATGCGTCTACAGAATCGAACCTCTATCACTTCCCACTGCGTGTCAGCTAAAGCCCACATCAGATCACGTGCCTCCGAGGGCTCACAGTGTGGGCATCGTATGACACTTTGCAAAGGAGACGACGTAGAAACGAGGTAAATCAGACACTTGTTTTGCCTGTTTTACGGGTACTGTACAAGCAGCTTCTAACGTGCTCCAGTCCTATTTCAAGTGATCTCTACCACTGTGAGCGCACTGCTTCGTCACATTGCTACTTAGTTAATCTTTTTCCGAGGTACTCGATTGCAAATGCGTGCGTTTACGCACTCAGGAAACCTGCGGCAACAGTATAGAGTTTGTCTTAACAATGCTTGCAAAGTGGCTGTGTGACATGGTCTCACGTCAATCTGTGGATAGGGAAATGGTGGAGCACAACCGACATTGGCGTATAGAAGCAGAACTCGCTGTTAAAACACAGGAAGCCTAAATAATAAAACCAGCACTCTATGACAAGCACGCCACGTGGTTTACCGCGAACCACGCTGGAAGAGATGGTCATCAGTTTTTTTAAACGTTTCCTGCTGGGATTGGTCTTTTCCAAAGCGTGACTTGGAGTTCTGTTCGGTAACGTACACACACTTCGGAATGAATGCAGACTATAGATGCAATGTCTTCGCATCAGTGTCCATAGATGCTGTATTCTTCTCTGCTCGACGCGACGAATGGTTCGCGATAGGTCCACGTAAACAGGAGGGCGCACGGGTGTTTCAAGGCAAGGGCCACGGCATGCCACTGAAGTCCACCGGTCCACCAAGTCCAGCGTCCGCTTCCAGCAAGCTCATGATGACCGCCATGGCCGCCTCGTCGTTTCCTTCACTGTTGCCCTGACTTCCGGCAGTCAGGATGTCCCGACTCACGAAGCTGTTCACCAGGTCCAGATCTAGGATGAAGAAGCAGAACGTAAACCTACAGGCAAGATCTCTTACTGAGTTAAGTATACGCGAGTGGATCACAGTCTTACTTGAGCGAGACATTGTTGATGAAGTTGTTTCACGTATTTACTATTGCATATTTATTGTGCTGTTTAATCATTCGCGACCCTTTAACAAACTTGTTGGGCTGCAGGATGTAAGTGGCGCGTCGATACAAACAAAAAGTATTAAAATAAAACTGTCACGTTTGTCTTGGAAGCAAAACAAGCTGCCACCATGAGAGCGGTACACAATGATGGTATTACAAACGATGTAAATAGTCTCTGACATGTTTTTTTAACCATTACTACTAATAATAATAAATCTTAGGGTCTAACGTCTAAAAACCTCCATGTGATTGCGAGACACACCATAGTGATGGGGTCCGGAAATTTCGACCACTTGGGGTTCTTCAAAGTGAACCTAAATCTAAGCACACGAGCCTCAGGCATTTTCGCCTCCATCGAAAAGGCGGCCGCCGCGGCCAGCATTCGACCTCGCGACCTGCGGGTCAGCATCCGAGTGCCTTATAGCCAGGCCACCGTGGCGGGTTTGTTAAGCCATTACTGCACGTCTACTCAAGGCTTAATTATTCTCGGCATGTGACCATGCTTGCAAACGATACCACAATGAAGTGTGATGGCTTAATCATGAAAGTCACCCCAAGTTCTTCTTCTGGTGTCATGGTGCACTCAGCGGTGCCGAAACTCTAGTCATTACAGACTGCGCGTACTAATTTCAGTCACTTTCTAGTAATAATAACTGATCACAACACCGCATCACAAACTGGCTTTATTACGACATGGTGCGAAAACCGCCGTTATGCGAACGACGCAAGTATGGTGCTGTCTTAAAATGTGCGGTTTGAGAAATTATAAAACTTGCAGTCTTTAACCTACCGCCCTCCAAAACTAAAAACCTAATTTGGGTAGCCCGGACCGAATGTTGAGAACACTTCGAATGAATAATCCTTCAACAGAGTGTACTCTTATTTTCTTCCCTCCCTGAGACAAAAAGACTGTGCTTGACCAAGCACTGCAGGCGATGGATTAGCTTCATACATTGGTTTTAGACTTCGGAATAATAAAACGTCATTGTGCACTTCTAAGCTGCCGTTCCTTATTTTCAACTGTAATTCACCAGTGAATATCATAAAATAGAGGTGTGCTCAGCGAAAAATGTAAATGTGGTTGTACTCCCGCCTGCTCCATAACGTGTCATTACAAGCAGTAAACTTCCGTGGTCTGTTCAAACTCCAGGACACATCTTTTCACAAAATTGCAAATTACCTTGCCCCAGCTATTTTACAAACTATGTCCTGGATTGTTTTTGAGGGTTGCGACAATGAAGTGTCCTCACACTCAGCATTCAAAGGCGTTTGAAGCAGTTAAAGCGTACTTCAAGTAGCATTTTGTCCGCTAAGGCTCAAAAACCTTATGTAATCATACGGCATAAATTTCAAGATTCAAAATTATTAGCGTTTTACTTCGTCGAAACAGCTCAAAGAAATGTTTTTGCTTACTGATACACTAGAAGGTGACCTATCGAACAGATTTTGGTTTGAATGTGAAACAGGAAACCGTAATGTTGGCAGGCCTCTGTCATCAAACCGGATGGCATCTACAGAGGTGAAGTATTCGGTATGATGGGAGCCTGTCTAGTCAGGACAAAGGTATGAGAAATTTGATAGGAAAAGACGTTTCGACGGCTGCACTGCACCCTTGTTCACAAGTTCACTGGAACATCACGAAATGCTGTTGGTAGCGACGTAAAAATCCGCCATGTCGAATTCACCGTCTTGTCAACTCCGATTGACTCACATGGCAGCTCCGATCTCTCTGATTCATTGAAAATGTGGCAGTGTCACTGGATTTGATGACCCAGTTCGACAGCGCACAGAATAGCGTATACAAAGAAAAAGAAAGAACCTACTCATTAAGCAATAATCTGGAAAAAAAGAAACGTTCATGCAATATGGACACTTATGACACTCGCCCCAACGACCAGTAATAATTCTACGGCGTTTGACCACACCTAATGTTCCATTAGTCGCATAAGCAAAAGTTGACTCACGTCTTGTAAAGCTACAGGCCATCTTTGTTCTCAGTGACAAGCGTTTGCATGCAATCAAGGAAAGAATGTACTACGTGTTAGTTGACAGCGTCATACTTTTTTACGCTCCTTTACAGATTACATACCGACGGAGCTAACTTTTCATCTAGCGGGCAAGGCACTTACCGGACTCTGCCATGGCCTGATTGGCTGGCGACGCGGACCTGAACGACGCAGCAGCGTGACCCGACTGAGGCGGTGGCTCGGGCGAATAGGTCTGCATCTCGCCGTTCCGGTCACCGGGCCCGGTGAGGACGGTGCTGGGCGATGGACTACCGAACACTTTCCTCGCTTCCTGAGATCAGACATAACCGCGCGCCCTCGTATAATTATCATAAGGCGTTGCGAAAGAACTAATCACCACGTTAAAGCTTCAATTTAGAACGTGTTGGATATCCAGCGCGCCGGAGACGGGCAACATTCCGGCAATACTTGGAGTCGAAGTGGTGTATAGAAACAAGCGAAATGAAAAATACTTACAAGAGTTTTTGTTTCTCCTCAGGAAACTAAAAAAAATTACCGACTTCTAAATATTTTGCCTCTGCCCCCCCTCTCCTTATAGTACTGTCAGTTCGACTTGCAAAATAGTGTTTTGAGCACTAATCATCAGAGAGACTCGATTTAATAAAAGTGTCTCTCATAATCATATGGTGGTTTTGGGACACTAAACCCTACATATCTATCAATCGATTCAATGACAAAGCACTCCAGCTGATGTCAAAGTAAACTCCTAGAGTAACCCACATGGTGGCTCCGCTTCCTCAGCTGCTCCTTTCCGCAATATTATTACCACGTTGTGCTTGGAAACAATGCATATAAAACAGGACAAAAAAGACATTGTAGCAAGTGTAGTTTGCAATTCTTCTGCAGTTTGTTCTCTCACGTAGGGCAAACTAGATTCAAAGCTGTTCCGATTGACCTGTTCGCCTCTTTAAAGTTAGGACTTCTTTACGCATTTTTGCATTCTTTTACTTGAAACAGTAATTACTTTCCTGAAAAGACGAGGAAACTTCACTTTAGGAGACGTATGTTACATTTCTATGAACACGTACATTCTTTTTTTTTCTTATGTGTCATATATATCTAGGATTATTAGCTGTTTAGAGAAAGATCATCCAGCATGTTCAAAAATAGTTAACGAAGTATAAGCTTTAAACCAGTGCTGAAGTCTTGTTCGATTGCTTTTCACGATGGGCAATATGCTCACACTTCAACGTTTCGCCAGAAAGCGAAGAAGAGAATATCGCTTTCTGTGCTCAGCAAGATATTTGTTAAATTGCACTTCATTAAAAAAAAGTCATCACAGCTTCGCCTCAAGGGCGAAGAAATAAATGTGAAAGCAACAATCTAAAATTTAACGCTGAGAATGGCAAGCATATTGAAACGTGCAGAGCGCTGCTCACACACAAATAACGCACGAAAACGACATACACTAGGGTGAAAGCGAACTAGCAACGTTTACCACTCGGTACTTAACGTGCTGTTTAAACAAAAACGACGCACGAAACGTAATCACAAGTACATATGAGTGCAACTAACAAATGTCTCAGTTGTTATACTTCGCTGTGTATAAAAAGCGCGCTCTTTTCGCAAACGGGGCCTGTGCAGCGAGTAAAGTGATCTTTGTGGGCTCGGAAACTAACGCGATCACTCCGGTGAAAGCCGAGGGCTCACGATTCTCCCCTCAACAGGATAAGCGCGTGCGCACAAGCATCTACCCCCCTCCCTCCCCCATACGCGGGGCAAAGTACGCGTGGTAGATAAGCGCACGTCGGTGCATCTTGACGAGCTGGGCGCTGAGCACGGGCGGCTTTTTTCCCTTTCTTGAGTTTTCATATATATATATATATATATATATATATATATATATATATATATATATATATATATATATATATATATATATTGTCACGCAGCAAAGGACGACGCAATTGTCTATAAGGAAAACAAGTTTATTGGAGCGAACCTGTGCTCCCCTAACAACTGAAAGAATACTCAGGCGGCGAAGCAGCGGCCGGCAAAACGACGTGCACGCTAGTGAGCGTCGGCGATCGAATGTCGCGGCATCGGCAGTGCGGGAATTTATATCCCTCGGCGCGAGGGTTTCTCGAATAGTCGAATTGTATCGAGAACGCCGTGATAGCGTTTGTTCGAAACGCTGTTCGTTCGGAATGCTCGAAGCGCTGTTCGATAGCGTTTGTTCGAAACGCTGTGATAGCGTTTGTTCGAAACGCTGTGAAGACAGTGATAGCACAGGCCGGCGCAGCCAGGCCGAAAAAACAAAGCACAAATAAACAAACCCAATGCATGGTTCGCGGCATTACCCCCCCTCTAAGAGTGCATCGACCCGATGCTAACATAAGGGACAGTCCAAACAAATTAAAATAAAAGTTCGTCATCGTCCGTAGAAAGGTTTTAAGCGAACCACATGGACGACTTCGGGCCGCGTGCGTCGTCGTGATGTACGGGAGTCACCATCGGGGATCACTTCGTACGTTAGTTCGCCAACACGTCGTAGAATCCGGTAGGGTCCGAAATAGCGTCGTAGAAGTTTCTCACTGAGTCCACGTCGTCGAATGGGAGTCCAAACCCACACACGATCTCCAGGATGGTACTCGGCGTCTCGACGTTGGAGATTGTAGCGTCCGACATCCACCAGTTGCTGGTCCGTTATACGAACTCGAGCGAGCTGGCGGGCCTCCTCCGCACGTTGGAGGTATACTTGGACGTCGGCGTTGAGGTCGCCGTCTTCTACGTGTGGAAGCATGACGTCGAGCATCGTAGTCGGCCATCTTTCGTAGACGAGCTCGAACGGTGTCATCTGCGTGGTTTCTTGGATAGACGTGTTGTACGTAAACGTGACGTACGGGAGGACTTCGTCCCACGTCTTATGTTCAACGTCGACGTACATAGACAGCATATCCGCGATTGTCTTATTCAGCCGTTCCGTAAGTCCGTTCGTTTGGGGGTGGTACGCCGTCGTTCTTCGGTGATCTGTGTTGCTGTAGCGTAAGATTCCTTGCATGAGCTCCGCAGTGAAGGTCGTTCCGCGGTCCGTGATTAGGACCTCAGGGGCTCCATGTCGCAGCACAATTTGGTTAATAAAGAACTTTGCAACTTCTTGTGCAGTTCCCCTAGGAAGAGCGGTGGTCTCTGCGTAGCGCGTCATGTAGTCTGTCGCTACGACAATCCATTTGTTCGCGGATCGGGATGTAGGGAACGGGCCCAGAAGGTCCATTCCGATCTGTTGGAAGGGCCTCGTTGGGACGGCGATCGGCTGCAGAAGTCCGGCGGGTCTCGTCGGTGGTGTTTTTCGTCGCTGGCAGTTACAGCAGCTCCGGACGTAGTGGGTGACATCGGATGTAAAGCGAGGCCAGAAGTATTTCGCCTTGATTTTTGTAATCGTGCGAGCTGTTCCGAGATGTCCGGAAGACGGGTCGTCGTGGCACGCTTCCAAAATTTCGTCACGAAGGTCTGCGGGGATGACAAGTAGATAATTCGTTCTCGTTCCGGGCTTGAAGTTCTTCTTCACTAGGATGGAGTTTTTGAGGCTGAATGCTGGTAAGTTGCGCTTGAACGCCCTAGGCACGGCGACGTTGCGTCCTTCGAGGTAGTCGATCATGGCGCGGAGGTCAGGGTCGGCACGCTGCTGGGCGGCTAGGTCGCTCTCTGTCACGACTCCGAAGAACGAGCTGTCTTCATCGGAGTCCTGTGGTGGTGGGTCGACGGGGGCGCGGGACAGGCAGTCGGCGTCGGAGTGTTTCCTGCCGGATTTGTAGAATATTGTAACGTCGAACTCTTGCAGGCGCAAGCTCCACCGCCCCAGACGGCCAGAGGGGTCCTTCAACTTGGCGAGCCAACACAGCGCATGATGGTCTGTCACAACCTTAAACGGTCTATCATAGACGTATGGGCGAAATTTTGAAATGGCCCATATGATAGCCAGGCACTCTTTCTCGGAGGCAGAGTAGTTTCTCTCCTCCTTCGACAGACCACGGCTTGCATAGGCGATTACCTTTTCGTAACCGCTTTGCTTTTGGACGAGGACGGCACCCAAACCGATATCACTGGCGTCCGTGTGCATTTCCGTTTCGGCGTTTTCGTCGAAATGAGCGAGCACGGGCGGGTTTTGCAGGCGTTGTTGCAGCTCGCAGAATGCCTTTTCTTGGTCGTTTTCCCAGCTGAAAGGGGTGCTTTCTTTCGTCAGGCGCGTGAGTGGCTCTGCAATGCGTGCGAAGTTTGCGACGAAGCGCCGGTAGTATGCGCACAGTCCGAGAAACCTTCGCACACCCTTCTTATCTTTCGGCCTTGGGAAGTTCGCAATGGCTGATGTTTTTGCCGGGTCAGGTAGGACTCCCGCGGCGTTCACGACGTGACCCAAGAACTTGAGTTCCTCGTACGCGAAACGGCACTTCTCAGGCTTCAGCGTTAACCCCGACGTACGAATGGCCTCGAGTACAGATTCCAACCTTGTGAGGTGTTCGTCGAAAGTCCGGGCGAATACGACAATGCCGTCGAGGTATACGAGGCAAGTGTGCCACTTCAGGCCTGCTAGCACAGTGTCCATGACTCTCTGAAACGTTGCGGGCGCCGTGCACAGCCCAAACGGCATCACCTTGAACTCGTATAGACCGTCCGGGGTTATAAATGCAGTCTTCCCTCGGTCTCTCTCGTCCACTTCAATTTGCCAGTAGCCGGTCTTCAGATCTATGGATGAGAAGTACTTGGCGTGGCAGAGGTGGTCGAGGGCGTCGTCGATTCATGGCAGGGGGTACACGTCCTTTTTGGTGATTTTGTTTAGTCTCCGGTAGTCAACGCAGAATCTTAAAGTGCCATCTTTTTTCTTCACGAGTACAACCGGCGCAGCCCACGGACTTTTCGATGGCTGTATTATGTCGTCGCCGAGCATGTCATCTACTTGAGTCCGGATGGCTTCGCGCTCGTGTGAAGAAACGCGGTACGGTGACTGTCTGGTAGGTCGGGCTCCATCTTCGGTTATTATCCGGTGCTTCGCCAAAGGTGTCTGACGTAACTTCGAGTTCGAGGAAAAACACTCGCTGTAGCGACGGAGCAACTCCAGTAATCTGTCCCGATTTTCTCGCGACAGCGCCGGGTTCACGTCGAAAGGATGTGGCAGCTTGGAAGCATCTGCGCGTGCTCGTTCAAAGGTGGCGACCGCGATCACTTGACTCGCTTCTTGCGTTTCTTCGAGGAACGCAATTGCAGCGCGCTTGTTTAGATGCTGGTACTCCTCGGTGAAATCGGTGACCAAAACGTGGGATCTGCGTTGCTTAAACCGCGCAATGCCTCTTGCGACAGACACACCGCGGTCTAGAAGCAACTTTTGGTCAGTTTCCACGATAGCGTCGACGTCAGGAGCAGCACCTTCACAATAGGCGGCGATCATCAAGCTTGCGCGGGGTGGCAGGGTGACGTGATCGTCGGCGATCCTTACAGCAGCACGGTGTCCGAGGTTCGGCTGCGGCGTCGTGGAGTGATCGGAAGAAAACGTTATCGACCTGGTCTGCAGATCAATTATTGCGCCATTGTCTGTCAAAAAGTCCATTCCGAGAATTACGTCGCGGGAGCAGTTAGGCAAAATGACGAACTCCGAAGGGTACGTAGTGCCGTCTATGGTGACGCGCGATGTGCACATTCCACTTGGGGTCCGGAGGTGGCCTCCTGCTGTGCGTATGTGCGGACCGTCCCATCTGGTCGTAACTTTCTTTAGCTTGGACGCGAATGACCTGCTCATGACCGAGTAGTCGGCTCCCGTGTCGATGAGGGCGACTACGTCAAGGCCGTCGATGGACAACTGGACGTCGGATGCCGCTTTCCTCGAATTTCGGGTGCGTCGGGGCGTCGTATCACGGCTTGCGCGTGTTGATGGTCGGGCACTATGCGTCGTCATCGTCGTCTTCTCAGCGGCAGGCTTCGTCATTTCGGGTACGCGTCGCGCAGCGTAGCTGTCGTCGTTTTCGAGGGTCTCGTCAGGGTGTCGTCGGGTCGTCGGGATGAGGGCATGTCGTGATTCACGGTCTTGCGTCGTCGGAGGGTTTTCATTTTCTCGCCGTTGTGCAACTTCACCTCCAGAAGTTGCTGCTTTTAGTTTCCCCCTCGTGGGCTGGGGGACCTTCCACGGGCGAAGTCAGCATTGCTGCGACGGTTGGGGGATTGGTACGGGTAGGGCGACGGCGAACGGTTGAAACGGGATGGTCCACGGCTGGTGTTCGACAGGTATTCTTCGATCTCAAATGGGCGCTGGCCGGCTCGCGGGCGGGGTGCGTCGACGGAGAACCCACGCAAACCCAGCCTCTTGTACGGGCAGCGGCGGTAGACGTGGTCGGCCTCTCCGCAGTGGTAGCACAGCGGACGATTATCTGGCGTTCGCCACACCTCGGTCTTCCTGGGCGCCTGGTTTCGGGTTACAGGGGGTCGGGCGGGCGACATTGGGGGCGGTACGGCGGGGTCTCTTGATAACGGGTTGGGGCGGGTCGGGGTCGACGAGCAGCAGCGGAGTAGGTCATCGCTTGTGGTTCGCAAGATGCTTCCGACGGCGTGGAATTCCCCAGTGCTTGCTGAACCTCCTCGCGGACGACGTCAGTGAGGGAGGCGACTTGGGGCTGCGGCGTTGCTGGGAACAATTTCCTCAGTTCCTCGCGAATGACGGCGCGGATGGTCTCCCTCAAGTCTTCCGTCGCCAATCCAGGGGCGTTTACCGGGTTCACCGAAAGGGTGTTGAGTGGTCTATCGTATTGCCGCGAACGCATATCCAAGGTCCTCTCGATCATCGAAGCCTCGGTGACGAACTCAGCGACGGTATTAGGGGGGTTGCGGATGAGTCCAGCGAAGAGCTCTTGTTTAACTCCCCGCATAAGAAAGCGCACCTTCTTCTCTTCTGCCATTTCGGGGTCAGCTCTCCGGAACAGCATCTTCATCTCCTCAGCGAACAGTACAACACCTTCGTTAGGGTGTTGCATTCGCGTCTCCAACAAAAGGGCGGCTCGTTCTTTCCGCACAACCGTAGCGAATGTTTTGAGGAATTCGCTCTTAAAGACAGTCCAGTCGGTTAGGGAGCCTTCATGGTTCTCAAACCACGTTCGAGCTGCATCCTCCAAATAGAAGAAGACATGACGAAACGTTTCTTCGTCATCCCACCTGTTAAAGATGCGGACGCGCTCCAGCTTCTCCAGCCACTCTTCCGGGTCTTCACCAGGAGATCCTCGGAATGATGGGGGCTCACGAGGTTGTTGCAGAACGACGGGAGGGTTGGTAGCGCTGGTCATGGTGCCTGCGTTGATCATCGTGGTTTTTACGTCTTCTTTCCTTTTTTTATCCGGGAGCAGTCCAAACTCTGGCTGAAGGCCTTGCTGTCGGCGGCTGACGCGAGTTGGGCGTGCTTGTCGTGTTGGGCTTGCTTGTCGGCTTGGCAATGGCTTAGGGTTCATGTACCCCGCACCTCCACCAGATGTCACGCAGCAAAGGACGACGCAGTTGTCTATAAGGAAAACAAGTTTATTGGAGCAAACCTGTGCTCCCCTAACAACTGAAAGAATACTCAGGCGGCGAAGCAGCGGCCGGCAAAACGACGTGCACGCTAGTGAGCGTCGGCGATCGAATGTCGCGGCATCGGCTGTGCGGGAATTTATATCCCTCGGCGCGAGGGTTTCTCGAATAGTCGAATTGTATCGGGAACGCTTTGATAGCGTTTGTTCGAAACGCTGTTCGTTCGGAACGCTCGAAGCGCTGTTCGATAGCGTTTGTTCGAAACGCTGTGATAGCGTTTGTTCGAAACGCTGTGAAAACAGTGATAGCACAGGCCGGTGCAGCCAGGCCGAAAAAACAAAGCACAAATAAACAAACCCAATGCATGGTTCGCGGCAGTATATATATATATATATATATATATATATATATATATATATATATATATATATATATATATATATATGTATATATATATATATATATATATATATATATATATATATATATATATATATATATATATATATGACGCTGAATGACGGTGACGGCAAAAAGCCAGCCGAGACTGTCCATATAATTGCTATCGCAATAAAAGACAGGTTTAAAACGGAAACACGCCTATAAATGTAGGAAGATATGAGAGATGAAGAAAGTATCAGTGATCACCTCTCTACTATCACACCTTATGTCAACTCACCTCTGACGTGGATGGCTGGTTTGTAGTCCCGCCAAGGCAGCTTGCATCTAGAAGGGTGCCACTCGAACTCTGGCAGGCTTCTTTCGATCTGTAATAGCGCACAAACTATAAGTCACGTAATCCTGGCGGCCGTGAGACGAAAACAATGCAATGTAAAGGCCCAGTATATAGACACGGTTGTCGGCAAGTGGCCTCAACCACTCCCACTTAGATGACTCTCTCGCTTCTCTAAAAGCATTCATCGGCTCATCAGAAAGGGCAGCCCCTCCTGTGTTCACTGTGGAAACACAGAAACTCTGGATCTTTCCTGCTCCACTGTCGTGCTTTGAACGATGCAAGTAGCAATCTCCTTTGTAGTCTACGCCAACCTTGGCCTCCCAAGTACAACATCCGGGCATCTGCTCTTCCCTCGCTACCGGTGTAATAACATTGAACATTCTTGTCGGCACTGCTCGACTTTATCGACGTGGCGAGGCTTCCAGAGCACTGGTAGTTTGTTTCTCCTTTTTATCTCTTTTTTTTCAATCAACCCTCCTTCACCTCTTTCCACTTCATTATTTTGCTGCGATTCCCCTCTCTCAGTTCGCCACTGCTGAGGTGTCCTCCTCAATGTGATACAGTTGTGGGGGTGCACAATCAAATTTCTACCTTTTGCCAAACAAAGAATAACGACCCCCCCTTGTGGCTTGCTTTTTTGCTTCAGCCAAAATGTGCAATCTAAAGGGGCACCTTTACAGAGCCTGAGTCAGCAGTGTGCTCTTACGTGATCGTTGGCTGCAGTACTGAATTCGAGAAGGCTTATGTATACTTTTTCCCATCACGATCAGCGTACAAAAAAACACAAGAAAGCGCACGGCACGAGCGCTGTCAAACAACTGAAAGTTTGATGGAAAAGACGCGTCATCATGAAGGCATAACAAAAAAAAATTTCACAGCATATCCACGCAGTGAATTATGATGAGTGGGGCGAAGCGTCCATCAGTCCGTCCGCGCTTCCGTCCGTCCGTGCGTCCCTCCGTCCGACCATTCGCGCGTGCGTGGCCCGTTCGTCCCTGCTTTCGTCCGTCCGTCCATACATCAAACAGGCAGACAGACAGATGACGGAAGGACGCGGCCAGCGGATGATTCACGGTTTGCCGATAAAACCCTCCGAAGCTTCGCCCACTCTTCATTATTCACTCCGTGGATATGCTGTGAGGTGGTTACTACATACATGCATACATACAGGTGACGACTGACCCACGCCTCAAGGAGCTTCGCCTCTAAAACATTGACACCCCCCCCCCCCACCACCACCAATCGCGTAATCAAGAATGCAGTAGATACAAAATCTTAGCATCTGGGAGAGCGATTGAAGGCTGGCTGACATACCTGTTTCTTGTTTTTATCATTTCATACGCTTCAACATTGCACTCGTCCGCTGGTCTCAGCCTCAGCACCACAGCGCTTTTTGTTAAATTCGAATGCGCAGCCGCACTGCTGGCAATGGAGAGCAGGATGCGTAAATGGTGTACCTTTCAGAGAGCTAGCATGCTTGCTTAGCCGGACGTTGGGGAAACGTTCCGTCTGCCCAATGTACGTGCCCCCCATGAAACAGGGAGCATGCTAGCTCTCTGAAAGCTGCACCATCTACGCGGCCTGCCCTCCATTGCTTGCCCCGCCGCGGTGGGCTAAAGTACTCGGCTGCTGACCCGCAGGTCACGGGATCGAATCCCGGCTGCGGCGGCTGCATTTTCGATGGAGGCGAAAATGCTCAGGCCCGTGTGCTCAGACTTGGGTGCACGTTAAAGAAACCCAGGTGGTCGAAATTTACGGCGCCCTCCCCTGCGGCGTCTCTCATAACCATGCCCCGCCATGGTGGTCTAGTGGCTAAGGTACTCGGCTGCTGACCCGCAGGTCGCGGGTTCGAATCCCGGCTGTGGCGGCTGCATTTCCGATGGAGGCGGAAATGTTGTAGGCCCGTGTACTCAGATTTGGGTGCACGTTAAAGAACCCTAGGTGGTCAAAATCTCCGAAGCCCTCCACTACGGCGTCTCTCATAATCATATGGTGGTTTTGGGACGTTAAACCCCACAAATCAATCAATCTCATAACCATGGTCGTTTTGGGACGTTAAACCCCACATATCAATCAATGCCCTGCATTGCCACAGTGCGGATGCGCAGCCGAAGTTAACAAAACCGCTGTGTTGATGAGGCCTAGGAACCAGCGCACGCGTGCGATTGCTGAAGCGTTTGAAATCATAAAAGCAGGAGACAGGTGCGTGATCTAGCCTTCAAGCGCTCTCGCATATGCCGAGATTTCATATCTATACTTGATTACAAGCTTGGTGGGGGGGGGGGGTGTTAGGTTTTTCTCTTTTTTTATGCCTTCATGTTTGCATATATATGACACGTTTTTTCCATCAATCTTTCAGTTGTTAGACAGCGCTTGTGTCGTGCACTTTCTTCTGTTTTTTTTTGTGTGTGTGTGTGCGCGCTGATCGTGATGAGTATGTTCCCGCTAGCCCAATTTGCTACTTTAGTGTACTTTTTCACATCGAAGGAATTTCTTGCCGCGCAGGATATGATATTGAAGATGCGATGAAACTGTCACGTGCTTTCTCTAAAAAGAACCGCCTTTGCCTAAATGAAACAAGAATAAATCTCTCTTCCAACCTTGAGAACCATCTAATCTAAATGTTATTCAACATTCGTTAATGAAATTGTCAGCGTGAATGTCTTTACCAGAGCTGATTATCATCACTGAGTGCTCTGATAGTTCATTGTTTCCTTTGTCCCTGCCTTTTGACCTATCTATCTATCTATCTATCTATCTATCTATCTATCTATCTATCTATCTATCTATCTATCTATCTATCTATCTGTCTATCTGTCTGTCTGTCTGTCTGTCTATCTATCTATCTATCTATCTATCTATCTATCTATCTATCTATCTATCTATCTATCTATCTATTATATCTATCTATCTATCTATCTATCTATCTATCTATCTATCTATCTATCTATCTATCTATTATATCTATCTAACTAAAATATAGTTGCGCTTACTTTGCCTGGTTGCCGAGCACGTGCACGGGAATGTGGCGGCCAGTTTTGCCGGCACCTACACGACTTGCACCACTTGAGAGAGGCGCCGCCATTGGACACCTCGATTGGGTCATGACTCCTCTCCCGTGGTCCGAGGACACGGCGCTATGCATCACCACGTCCATGCCCTGGCCGCTGCCGACGGTCGAACCTCCGCACAGTAGTTCGTCCAGCTGACCGTTCGAACTGTCCACGATAACCACCTCTTGAGATCTGCTCAGAGTGCATCGCAAGGATTATTTTTTATGAAATATCACGGACAGCGCGATATCTTCTCACTGCAGCATTGTCTGAGCTTAGTGCGTATGAACAACTTATGTGGTTTCAAGGCGCGAAAAGCAAAGTAATGGTGTCATAAATAAGTGCCACAAGATGTATGATCAACAACTCGCCCAAATGTGCACCCACCTACCTGTAAGTGTGATATATGTGTGACTTACCTGGGTGCGGCGACTGTGGCTTTTCTGACGCATTGTAAGTGTCATATTTGTAGGGCTTAACGGGATGCGGCCATTGTGACTCTTATGGTCAATGCATGTATCAGTGCACTCAAGCTGCCTCAAAGTTATTCTAAGTTACTGCATCTGTACATTGTAGACCCACGTTAACCTTTGAACACTCTTACGCCAGGGATCAAAGTTTCTCAGTTAGGTTATACAGTGAAAGCCTGATCCACTGTAAAACCTCATCGTGAAATCCCTCAGTTCAGTGGTAGCATTACGCCACAGTTGTGTAGATGATAAGTTTTCATTTTATCAGTGCTCCTCCACTGTGCGGTCTTTCGCGAATGGTGTTTGCCTTTGACATCTATACTACACCATATTTACCTATACAGTGTTGTACTGCACTACACTATACTACTATAAACTAAATCAACACAAGGACGACAATGTCTACACGAAATATACAACTTACACTTGTGCCTTCAGCCCAGTCTAATTCTCGGAGATAACCAGCTCTACACTTGTCTGGTGTGCTTTTTTTTGTTGAAGGACAAGTGGCTTTCTATGTAAGTTTAAGAATCAGGTAGCTTTTACTGTTCATTATTTAACACCTTGTGCGTGGAGCAGCATAGCCGTCGTCACTTTTTCGCCATAACACTTATTGAAATATACTATAATATACTATACTATACTATATTATACTATACTATGTTATAACTGTTTTTGCTACAAAGTTTCACTAAGAGAGCTTATAGCTGACGAGAGCACTTTGAATGGTTCTAAAGGGCTGGCGAGTCAAGGTACTGCTATGAATACGTGGCATATCAGTCACGCATTTAGTATTCAGTCTAGGTGCATGCGATGAGAATATCAAAGTTCTTTTATTTTGATCAGCGCAAGAGGCTGGTAAGGAGGAATCTAAAAGATATTATCTATATCTGATTATCTCGGCAATACAGTCGCTGCCTGGGCCGCAGAAGAGGAGCTAATCCGCATCGAAAGCCAATAGTTACCATAACGAGACGTGTCTGCAGCAGTACACTGCACGCACATGGAAGATTAAGCGAAATGTGCTTTTTTCTGTACTTGATGCTTACCCAATGAGCGTGTTGATGGCAACGAGGCACTCGAGTTCCTTAGTCCATGGGTTCTTGAAGGCCTTCCATTGAGTTTGGAGGCAGACGAAAGAACCTTCCTTGACGCGGAACTTGTATGGCTGCGTGCACACTACCTCATTCGATTGAAGAACTGTGAACAAGAATGGCACATCAGACTTGACACCGTTGCTTTCCAATGTATTTCAGGCAACATGGAAACTCCAAAACCTGTCGTGATATCACTGCGGCGTTTTAATATCGTAAAATTTGTCTAGCGTTATTGTTCTCTGAATCTCGTTCAGACATCTTACACAACTGAAATTTGTTAAACACTAGGTCGATGACAGTTTGAGGTGTCTACAAATGTCTGCATAAATAACAATAACTGTGTGCATTGCAAAAAAAAAAGGATAGGGTCCAACAAACTCAATATTAAAAAAATGAGTCATTTTGGTGTAGTTTATGCATTTCGAGTACACATACATAGTGCCTGAGCTTAACGTGTTGAAAAATGTCCGGAAGTGTGACGCTGAACACACAGCTTTCATGCTATTGCGCAGTTTTGAAGCACATCAGGAAAGAGCTGTTCTAGCTGAAGTAGTATAGTCACACAATATTTTTTGGACTTCGTTAAGTGCGCACGATTCACCACCGCCACCTTTGTTCAGTCGGGAAACGTGTACGTCCCCACGCGTAACTACCAAGTAACATTGAAAACGCCCGGGTACTTACCTTTCTTGTGGCATTCGGACAACCTCAAGACGTCGTCCTGGCAGTAGTACTCGTAGCACGCTGTGCCAAGCAGTTCTTGCGGCAGGTAACCAAGGATCAACGTTGCCCTGCGCACAGACGATTCAGACGTAGGCATCGACTTTCATGTCTACTCAAATGAAGGAAGGAAGGAAATGTTGAGGGCTCGTGTATTTGTTTGGCACAACATTAATGAAAATGAAAACTCGCAGATAAAGTAGCCAGGCAGGATAATGGTATTTTTTAAGCGTGTTGCATTAATCGGGATGTAGATGCGAAGAAATTAAAGTGGGTGAAAGGACAACTTGCCGCCGGCCGGGACCGAGGTTGTAACTTTCGGATTACACACCCGATGCTCTTATCATTTGAGCCACGGAATCGGTCGCTACCCCACTTACTTTACGGGGTATTTAGTACGTGCAAACCCCGAAAGTGTTGGTTAGCGCTGCTCGCAGCCATGACGGCAAGTGTGGAACACTTCCCCCTCAAGCTGGCACCGAAGTGTAATAAGATCATCCGACCATAGCACGTAATCTTTTTTAACGAGTAGACAGCTAAACAATTTGCTGTAATTATCGGCTGGTTTTTACTAGCATCTACTCAAAAACGCTTGTGCTTCAACTAACTAGCAATCATCATTTGAAGCTCTGAGTGAGTTACATCGGAAATCTCGGTAAAGTACAACTATCTGGAATACAACGGATTTTTTTTTTGTGTGTGTGGCAAGGCCCCGACTTTCGGGCAGTGCTGCCCTATTTAAACTTTCAAGATAGCTGACTTATTTATCGTATCCCGGTCATCTAAGTGCATGAACGCATATACTAGGTTGTCATGAAAGGAAATTGTGTGCAGTATACGTCACTCGTTCGTAACTTTCTGCTTCGTTGTCTTGGTCGTGAAAAATCTCTAGCAATGACTTCACGGCTTCTAGCCACTCGGCATACATGTATAAGTCGCTCAGTGACCATGACACCCAAAAGAACAGCGACGCTCCTAGCTTGAGTCAGACCATCCCCTCACCGTGCTGAATCACATGAATGATTAAAAATTGTGCCGCCTAGATCGGCTATCAGCAAATCATGGACCATAGTGTTCGCGTAGTAGCAGCTTTTTCGTCTTTTTCGACATGCCGTTTTCATAATAACACATAAAGGTGTCATCTCTCTGAATGGAGAGACGCGGTAATTAGGCACTCCCAGAAGTGTAATAATATCATCCATAAACTTAAATAAATGTGTCGCGACACCTCTAACGCGACCACTTCGGTAGGCATGCCATGTTGTCAAATCAGTTTCAGGTAACCTGCTATAATTTGTTACGTGGGCTGTCACATTAACCGCAATTAACTTCACGCAGTGTCTTTAAAAGGACCTTGAAACACTTTTTTTCAAATAACCATGGAATAGGAAGAGGAAGAAGAAGCCGACCAGTGCGGGCGTTAGAACATCGGCTTCCGCTATCTTCAATGATTGTGTGCGGTTTGCCGCCTACAATCACCGTGATTTGCACACCAACGTACGCACCAAGTTACGAGAATTCCGTGGACACCGTATTTATTTCGGTGGGTGGACTCTTTCTCTACTTTTGGCCTTCTGAAGTGCTTACGCCGCCGCTGCCTCGCTACCCCTAGCGGGCTAAGCCTTGCTCCGGTGAGCCAAGGTGGGTAGGCTTGGGCCTATCCCGCAAGTTTACCCCGTTCATCATGGAAATCGTCGAAGGCGAAGCAATATCGCCTGAAGAAGCGAATGGCCCAGGCTGGATTACGGCGTACAACCGTAAGCCAAGCAAGAGCAAAGCTAACCAATCCCAAGACGCAAGACCAACAAGTACGCGAGGGAGACGTAGGGACGGCGGCCGCACCGCCGAACCGAGAAGCGCGTACCAACGCCTCGTCGCTACCTCAAGACTCCCTCAACTTCCGAGGGACACATATCGCATAATCGTAAGGCCCCGAGATGGCCTCAACGTGGCTAAAATCACGCCGGTGCAGTTTGAGCAAGCCCTGGCGATGGCCGCCGCCCTGGCTCCTCAAGACCTCATGGAAGACTCTATATGCCCAAATGTCACCCAGAACATTTTTGTAGTGTGTACCCCAATCGAACGAAACGCACGAGCTTATACCATGGTACAGCAACTACGTCTGCGAGACACTCTGTACCGAGTTGCTGTATATCCGGCTCCACCCGACAACACGTGCAAAGGCGTCATCCGAGGCATTGACATTGACCTCACCGATACCCAGCTCCGAGAACTGATCGTCACAAAGCGCAACCCGAGTGCCCTGGAGGTGAAACGCATCAAGAACACCACAGCCGTCACCATCCTGTTCCAAGGAATGCAAGTTCCCAATTATGTATACTGCGGGGCGAGCATAGTTCGATGCACGCTTTTCCGCAGACACACGGAAGTTTGTTACAACTGCGGCAGCCTCGGCCATCGTGCAGACGTTTGCCCTAATCCTAACACAACGTGGTGCCGAAAGTGCGGACTCAAAACCCCACCCGAAAACCACCAATGTAAGCCCCACTGCACACTCTGCGGTGGACCACACCCCACTGCCGATAAGGACTGCAAACGTAAATTTCAAGTTCCGTACATCGTACGCCAACGACGACGCCGACGCCGTCGACGCGGTCGTAGCCGCTCCCGAGGATCGAGTGGAGCCAGCTCCCGCGATTCCAGCGCCACCTCGAGCACCTATGCGACATCCAGGCGAAGCCGCTCCCTCACACCGACAGCGAGACGTCGCAGTGCCCAGCGCAGCCACTCCCGCTCCAGGAGACACTCCCCATCTCGCCAGGCTGAGCTGACATGGGCGGACCGAGTCCAAGGGAAGAAACCACCGCTACGGAGCACGCCGCCAGTCACAAAGGTAACGCGGCCCTCATTGCCAGAGCATGAAAGCGAGGTAGTTACAACTCTACGAGAAGAACTAGCAGGTCTTCGGGCAACCATACAACAGCTCACCACACAACTAAATGAGGCGAGGCAACAAATACAAACTCTCACAGCTCCTAAAGATCCCCCCTCATCCACTGTAGATGTTAGCAAACCTAAACGCAGAGCCCCACCACTCCGCGAAGCGGACACGAATGACAGCGACTCACCAGAAGACACTCTAAACGAAATCTTACGTCTCACGCGAGAAAACCACGATAACATCGACACGCTGTCACGCCGGGTGGAAGCACTAGAGCAAAAAGCCACCATAAAAGCTAAAACCAAAGCCAGAACAGTAGTTTCTGTGGATCCTACGGCAAATCTGCCTGGGCCACCAAATTCAATGTAATCATCATGGCTTCCACAACCCAAAACACGTTAGAAATTTGGCAGTGGAATTGCGCTAGCTTCGCGACCCGTAAAACCCCACTGCTGCAGTACATTAAAGCGCAACCCAAGAAGCCTCACGTAATATTACTGCAGGAGACCCTTTGTGATACTCTCACATTATCGGGTTACCACCCCATCTCACAACGAGGGGATACCAAGAGAGGTATAGCCACGCTGATTAGCAAGAAATTTGCTCACATAGTACATGAGGTATTACCCACCCGCAGCCGCCTGGAAGCGATACTCGTCGAACTCGTACCAAACCGTTTTTTAAAACAAAGCGTTTTTATCCTTAACGTTTACAGCTCCCCGTCAGACTACAGACAGTCCTTCCACGCGCTCTTAACTAAAGCCACAACGCTCGCGCGAAACTCTCCGCTTGTTATAGCAGGCGACTTCAATGCCCCCCACCCGTCATGGGGTTACCCCCAGGCAACGGCTAAAGGCACTAACCTCACGCGAGCAATTGACGACTTGTCCCTCACACTCATCACAGATCACCGATTCCCTACGAGACTTGGAACATCGGTACAACGCGACACTACGCCGGACTTGGTATTTACCCGTAACGTCACAGGCCACACCTGGACCAATACGCAGGAAAACCTGGGCAGTGATCACTTCATCATACGAACCGAACTACCCAATGCATCAGCCCCACCCCGTACATTCACGCTAACGGACTGGGATGCCTTCCGCACCCTCCGCAAAAACAACACAAAGGAATACAACACATTCATCGAACTACTCACCTCACTTCAGGAAGACATAGCCAAAACAACGAAAACAATACAAACAGAACTCGAGGTCCCGAGAATGGACCCACACCTCGCACATTTGCTCGAGGCAAAAGCGTCAATACTCGCGCGCTGGAAAACACAACGACTAAACAGACGCTTAAGAAAACGTCTATCAATACTGAACCAAGACATTGCCAAATATTGCACGGAGCTCACACGACTCCAATGGCATGAACTCTGCTCGGCGGTCGACGGCCGCATGCGAACTGGGGGTAAATGGAACCTCCTAAAATACATGCTGGACGACTGCGAAACAAAAAACAACCAGAGTCATGCCATAGACCGGCTCCTACACTCGCACAAAAAGATGGGAGGAACAAACTCATCCTTTCTTGAAGAAATCTCCAAACGTCATCTCCCCTTAAACACAGCACAACCCACCGACTACCCAGAAATAGAATGCGAAACGATACCCGAACTCGACGAACCCTTCACGGAGTCAGAAATTCGGGAGGCATTACACAACCTCAACAGCAGATCAGCCCCCGGTCCTGACAAGGTAACCAACCGCCTGTTGCGAAATTTAGACGACCAAGCCATCACACTACTCACAAAAGACATTAATTACATGTGGGAAACTGGCCAGGTACCTGAACAATGGCGCACGGCCACGGTAATCCTTCTCTCAAAGCCAGGTAAACCACTCAACTTCGACAACCTACGCCCGATTTCCCTAACCTCATGCATAGGAAAAGCAGCTGAACATGTCATCCTAAATCGTGTATCGCGCTACATAGAGGATCACGAACTCTTTCCGTTCAACATGGTCGGGTTCCGTCCGCACCTTTCAACACAAGACGTCATGCTATTACTAAAGAAACAGATCTTCGACTCAAAAACGAGAGATGTTCGTGGCATTCTCGCCCTAGACCTCACTAAAGCATTCGACAGCGTCTCACACCGCTTTATACTGGAATCCATTGCCAGCCTTGGTCTCGGTAAAAGATTCCAGGCGTACATTCGTTCTTTTCTGCAAAATCGAACAGCTCAGCTGCATTTATCGCAACTTACATCCGATACTTACACATTAGGTTCCAACGGGACACCACAAGGGGCAGTCATTTCTCCACTCCTTTTTAACATAGTAATGAAGGGACTATCTGACAAACTCCGCGACATCCCAAACATAAACCATGCTATATACGCAGATGACATCACCATCTGGTGCCCGGGAGGCTCATTGGCGGAGTTGGAGCAAGCCCTTCAAACTGCTCTCGATACCACAGAAGCCTACTTAAAAAACACTGGACTTCGTTTGTCGCCCACAAAATCAGAGTTGCTACTGTACCGGCAATCTCGCCAAGGCGTTCGTAACTTAACACCCTTAGGTGATCTACCCATAGCGCTACACGCCAAAAATGGGCAGCGAATACCCCGCGTGGACTCCATACGCATTCTCGGCCTCCTCGTCGAGGCCACTGGCTGTCATGCAAGAACAATTACACATATCACAGCTAAAACCGAGAACATGCTCCGACTCATTCAGCGAGTCTCGGGTCGTAGACGAGGCCTTGGAGAGGCCAACCTACTGCGCATATACCACGCGTTCTTAATGAGTCACATCAATTACGTCGCCTCTGCCCACAACTGGACGAAGGTAGAAAAGACGAAACTAAACACACTCATGCGCAAAAGCATTAAACAAGTCCTTGGTTTGCCTCAAAACACGAGCACTTCCCGTCTCGACCAACTAGGCATGCACAACGGCATCGATGAAGTGATCGAGGCCCAGACCACGGCCCAAGTGATCCGCCTCTCCTCCTCCAAGGCAGGCCGCCGACTTCTAAGCGAGGCCGGCATGTCCCCACACCCCTGCCTTGAACGCGCAGTAACCCTCCCCAGAGTTGTCCGAGCTACTTACATGGTAACCCCATTTCCGCGAAATGTCCACTCACAACACAACGAAGGCAGACGGCTGGCCCGCGCTCGCGCGATCCTAAACCGTACCGCCGCGAATCGCAACTCTACCGCATTCGTCGACGCAGCGCAATACGGTAACTCCTCCTCTTTCGCACTCGCGGTAGTAGATGGCGACGGAGCCCTACGCTCAGCCGCCTCGGTTAGGCTATCAACAAGCGCCATAGCCGAACAAGTTGCTATAGCTTTAGCGATGACTGACCCCTCACTCACTAATGTCTTCACAGACTCTCGCGCCGCCATTCGGGCTTACGAAACCGGCAACATCGCTCCAGAAGCAGCCTGCATTTTACAAACACGGAAATATACGGGCTCGCACTACCTCTCTTGGTTCCCTGCCCACATGGGCAAAGACGTTCACCCACAACAACCCAACCTCAACGAAATGGCTCATGATCGAGCACGAGAACTGACCCGCCGTGACGATCAATCAGCCACCGAAGAGCTGGGCCCAGACGTGCAGTTTAATGATCCACTACTCACCTTCCATGAAATTACCTCCCACTACCGACACAACAGAAGCCGATACCCTTTACCCCATTCAAAACTAGAACGCGCGCAAGAAGTAGCCTTTAGAATGTTACAAACGAGATCGTACCCATCACGGGGCCGACTCAGCCATTATAACTCAGACATAAATTCACAGTGCCCAGATTGCACAGAAGTGTACTGTTCACTCGCGCACATGCTCTGGCAATGTCCCGCGTTACCTCAGGGACCTCTCACCAGTGAGTCCGACTGGGAGGAGGCACTCAGGAGCCCCAATCTCTGAAACCAACTTAAGGCAGTCCAGAGGGCCCAAGAACTGGCGGAACGCCACCACGTTCCCGCCCCGACTCGGGCGTCGCCTACGGTAGCGGCTTCTAGGATGTCCCACGCGGGCACCCTGGTGGCTTAAACTCCTCAGGACCATATATTAAAGTTCTTGACTGACTGACCATGGAATATATTTACTAAAATAGCTTATTTCCTCACAAATTCAACGCCGCAAAAATTTTAATAATCCGTCCAGTACGAGCAGAGTTACAAAGGTTTGTCGCACGCTGCAATCGCATTCTCTGTTCTTTCGTCCTGACGAAAGCGCTGGAAGCTAAGCAGGGGCATGGCATGGGCAAGAAAAATAAGTCACGCGCACCACGTGACCTTGAACACTTTTTTTTTTCTTTTTTGTTTCTTTGATTGCGCGGCTTTGTTAGTGTGATCGCGCGCGCACACGTGGCCAAGTCACGACCTCCCGCGGCGATCTCTGTAACGACCGAGCGCGCCATGTTGAAATCAGCCAATGGCTGATAAATGGGCTTTCTACGAGGGATTTCCGAGCGTCATCGTCATTTGTCGAGAGAAGAGAAAGCCATTTTTAGCTGACTTCGATAATTTATTGTCAATTGCAGGCCGCGCGCTGCACTATGCTATTTTGCTAGCGTGTTGTCGGGAGCCTCTACAATACCGATTGGTAGCGTTTTCCGACCATGCTGGAAAAGTGTTGCAGGGCCCCTTTAAGTAGACTGTTGCACCATATATGTAACTTCACCACAGCCATTGATAATCATCTATAGGCTACCTCGCCGAAACACACTACACATCCGCTCACTGTGCAAAAAGATTTCTACCTTTAATTGTAGAACCAACCCTTTTTTACTCGTTACTTCCTAAAACAATAGATAATCCGAATAGTTTAACAGGCGATCTACTTAATAGCTATAACCAATGATTTGGTTATTCATTTTTTTAAGTCGTGAAATCACTCTCGATAAATAAGTGATTGTACTGCGTATCTTGAAAATGCACTTCTTTGAGCCGGTCTTATGGTTCCTTTGATAATGTTATGGTGATCTTGGTAATGTATGTGTATATATCTTCAATGCGTACTTCTATACTGGTTATGTTTTTGCCCCCCCCCCCAACGTTATGCCGCCATGGCGATGTAGGTAGTTTGTAAATAAATAAATAAATAAATAAATAAATAAATAAATAAATAAATAAATAAATAAATAAATGGCTCTGCTCTTCAGCAGTGTCCCAGACAGTCGTAGTTGGCTGATATCTTAGAAAAGATAACGGAAGAGGCGCTATTTTCTGAAACCGATACGGGAGTCTATCTTCGACTGGGAGAGTGTTTGCAGTAAAGCGAGGGCGACGTTATCTGTGGGAAATTTCGAGAGGCACTCACTTCTTGTCTATGAAAAGAAACTTCCCGTCGGCGGCGTGCCTAGAGACGAACTGTACTGCCTCGGCATCGAGTGCTGTCCTTGTCGCGGGGCTGCTGGCCAGATCTCCGTGCACCCTGCCCACAGCCACTAAGCAGCTTAGGTTGCACCTGGAAAACAATGTGCAGAGTTTATTTCGTGGCGCCCCGAATACCAGACCCCTGAGGTGCCAACGTAAATATATAACAATCAGAAAGACCTCGCGCACATAATGGTCAAAGGAAATTGAAGTGCTAAGATCTAGTTGCACGTTAACAAACCATCATGCGAGAAATGTGTCGAAACGCAGACACCGCTCTCACCCACAACACGTTAACTTTGCCTCGAACTCCAGTTGACGATTCGGAACTTAGAGGCAAATACAATGCCGTTGCTTAGCTCTGCACAGTGTAAATTTATTGTAAACTGAGTGTGAAACGCCGCAAGTAAGCTTAATTTTATTTTTCGACGTGCACTACGGGAAGTGAAATGAGTAGGTGCAGTTTGCCATGGTCACGCGATGGTTTCCTCTACCTTCTAATGAGCAGATTTATTTCCCCAAATTGAGCAGATTTATTTCCCCAAATGTGAGCGAGTGCTTCGTTATAAAGTGTCCGTTATTACTTTCAACTTATCTCCGAAAGACCAGCCTAAGCGAAACTCGTAAGTACTAGTAAAACATCATATGCGGAAAGATACACAGCATGAGGCAGAGTGATTAACGGCCAGATCTGCAACACCACCACCACCTTCACGATCAGGGATTTTGGCTTATTTATAGTGCTAGTCTGGCGAGTGCAATTTTTTTATCTTTTTTGTCCGTTCTCTGAAAACTTCTTCAGACATGGTTATACAAACAGGCCCAGTTCAGTCCACATGACGTCGTCCCTCTCTCACTGCGTACTTCCCCAAAATACCTTTCTCAGCTTTCTGGAGTAGGGTGGGGCGAAGAGGGTAACCAGAGCTACGTCATCCGAACCTGCCACCCCCCCCCCCGCACACACACACCGTTTGGTAAACTCTTGGGGTGCAGGAGGAAGGAGAGCGCGTGCACCGTGTCTTCTAGCAAGCGAAACCTTTACTATGTACACATTTACATATCCAATCTGACAGCTTACAACAACAAGAAAAGAAACCTGATGTACTCATGATGATTACTATGGCGTCAGCTGATGACTATGACCAGCAGAGAAACAAGGACGAGCGCTGCCATACCAACTCGCGCACGCCACCACCCTTCTAAGCTTTATAATGCGCTTGCGTATATGGTCCCCGTACCCATCACTGTCGTCCGCTGGGGCGTCTTCGGGCAAACTGAGCTTGGCGGGCGCCCACGACTTGAGGTAGCCGGTGCAGTGGATGACCGAGTATCGGCGGTCGAAGCTGTGCGACTTGCGGCGACGCTGGCCACCCGTCGTGGTGTCGGCCTCCTCCTTGACGGTCGCCTGCGTCTTGCATTTCATCCGACAGAAGAAGGAGCGACGAGCACCGGGACACAGCCTGCTCTGCCGCTGCGGAAATTCCCCTTTCAGCGGCAGCATCGCTGCGTGAACCGGGGCAAATGGGTCACGTGTCATGACGAATACGCAGGGTCACAGGTCGGCAGAAATTGTGCAGCTCACTTAAACTCACTCGTGAAACATATCTGGCGCTCTGGACTGACTCGGACACAGACTCACCGACATTTTCCCGCGCCTGACATCCTCACCGATATATTACTCACCCGGACTCACTCAGACTCAGACTCACGGCTCGATCTGCGTCAAAACATCGGCACGAGCGACCCTCTGTGTTCACAAGTTTTTCTTCGCTTCGACCTTCACTCTTCCCCTGAATTTCCGCCTTTTCGGAATTTCCAGGGCTCGGGCTTTTGTCACTAAAAGCTAATTAGAGACAGGATTTTCACAATACATAGACAATAATATTTTCTATTCATAGGAGACGCCACTTTGAATTTTCAGACTATTGATTTCTCAGTCCTCTGTGTAGTGTCGTAAGAATAAATAACAAGGCCACGGGACACCGAATTGACACATTCGTTTTCATGCATATGTTGTTGCACACCGTTAGCTTAGCTAGTACTGGTACAAAACGGTAAGGTTATCAGTAAAAAATAGTGTCAACTAGACGCACGCGTAAAATAGTCCATGATGCCTTGTTTTCCTAGCTGTCAGCTTTTGTTCACATAAAAGTTACAATAGCTACCTTTAAGTGGTCGATAAATTGTGTTAAATTACACCATTATCTCATTGTGTACAAAACACAGCGAGACAGAATTGTTAATTAATTACTGCCGTTATAACGAGGCACAACGTAATTAAGGAAACAAGCACGTACTCTTTGCATCGATGAGTCTTTCCTTCGGACACATGTCCGACGAAGAAAGTTGCTCTTTGACTTTGGCGATGTCCTTGGGGTGCAAAATGTCGAACCAGCTTTGTCCGAGGAGATCTCCCTGAAGACGCCAAAAAGAGGGATGAAAAATGAACCTTGACGATGGTGAATGCGTTAATTGACATAACACATCATCATGCACAATAAGCACTTTGCCTTAAAACGTCGGCGAGGTTTCGTTACAGCTAGGTGACATAAAATCGTATTTGTATGACAGTGTTTTTCTTTTTGGTTCCGGTCATCTGTAAGAACTTGCCCGTTTACTTTTTTTACAGCACCAGTAACGCCTACTACAGTATAATGAAACGATACTCAAAACCCACACACGCATGCGCACACACCATTGCTGTAACCTTGATTAGCTCATTGCGGGTAAAAGCCAAAACCTTTCAGTATTTCAAGTGAGAAAACCCTGAGTGAAGATTCGCATAGCTACCATTTGTGTGAATCGTGAGGATTGGGCTGGTTTTTCTCTGACGGGAAGGTGGCGATTCTTGTTGTGGAGTAGGAAAACTTTATTACCTGATTTCTTTAGACAGTAACATTTGTATTAGAGCATTCTATAGTTTTCCCCTTAACTATTCATGTTTATTCCTTTCTTTCAATTGAATATACGCAACAAGATTGTATTCATCCATCTCTTTCTTACTCTTCTTCCTACCCTTTCCTTTCTATTATTCCCCCTTTCCCCCATTCCCGAGCGTAGGATAGCCAACCAAGCCAAAGCTTGGTTACACTCTCTGCCTTTTCTATCAGTTTCTCTCTCTCTCTCTTTTTTTCTCTAATCTATCACTTTGAGTGTATTTGCAGACGACAGAATGATACTTCACCTTCCCAATGTTTCCACAATGCTTTCTCCTTACATTCTTCTCTCTCTCTTTTTCTCTCTCTTTCAGTCAAATGTTCCAAACTCGTACTAGGAAGCATTGGTCGCGGCAGCTCTTGTGGGTCGTTTTCTACTACATTTTTATGAAAAACAAGATAAGTGAACTGTCGCCCTATTTCCGTTTTTTTTTTTAACATGAAAGTGTTTTATGCTGCGGTCCACCACGTTCCTTCACGGATATGACTTTGCAAAATATTTATTTTCAGATTGCAAAGAAAAAAACGAGAAGGAAAAGTGCCACAGCGAAGCGCCGAACCAGTGACCTCACGCTCCACAGCGCGCGACGCTCCCTACTACACCACAGAGCGACCCTTCTCCAACATGTCACCGGAGCACCATTTATATACATCATGCACCGCTGGCGGTCCTCATAGCTCGAAAACTTCAGCGCTTTCAGGAATCTGTAGTGAGATGGCACGACGGGCGCGCGTTGGGCGCGCGCGTTCTAAAGTTCGTCGTGTAGCACCATCGCGCGCGTCGCTGTGCGCGCGCGCCTCCACATAGCGGGGTCGTGGTGCGTCAGAAGCTCTTTAAAGCGTGGTAGCTCACTCGCGCGCACGCTTATCTCGGGATTCAGGAGCTTTGTGCCTTTTTGAGCTTCGACCGCAAGTTTGCTTTGAAGTTACATAAGTTAAAGCGAGCACGAACGTCAATTCGCTCGCTACCGCGGCCGTGTTTACGAAAGAACTGAGCTCTCACACACGAAGTAAGAATTGAGACAGTTGTTTGTCCGAGTTCGCCCTGTTTGCGCTCAGTTCGCGTGTGCATTCTGTTTGAGATACGCGCTGCTAATTACGAGCTGTTTGCCGTTCTTCGCGTATCATTGCAATTTGTTACTGCAGAATTCATTCCTTCGTTCTTGTGATGAAACAATGTACAATGAATGCTCAACTACATTTGCGAGGACGCGTTTCACTTCCGTGTTATACTGATTCCTAAAAAGGGGGATTGACCAGGTTTTTAAATGCTGAGACCCTTATACGTGTGAGATAATCCCGTGGTACTTCGTCCCTCACCTGTGTGTAGTTGAGCGTCTGTTGCACCGACTCCGACATAAACAGGATGCGACCGCGGTCACAGCTCACAACGAACAGAAAACCATCAGCACCCTGCAAAAAAAAAGAAAATTCATCAGAAATAACTTAGGTAAGAGCTCTTGAAATTTCACGGTCATTCTTTATATCACATAGTCTTCAATGCCTCCCTGAAAGAGTTCGGTCAAAGTCATTCTAAGAAACCCTCACGTGACACTAGCTACAGGTTATGAACTTCGATTTTTCACGATAAGCATTCGCAAAGAGTGAATCTTTTGTTTGCGGTTCTTCCTGCAAAACTGTAGCAAACCGGCTGCCTATAGGCTGGTTAACCACCCTGCCGTTCTTTTTCACCCATTTTCCTTCCTTCCTTATCCGTGAGGGAGGACAAAGGGATGTGCGACGTGCCACCAAACAATGTCCGATAAAGACAGCCTCAGAGTAGCTGCAGTAAATACGGTGAGAAATTGCTAGCCGATTGCTATCTTGAGCGCAAGTGAAAATAAGCTTTGTGGGTAACTTCGAGCTCGAGTTACACGAAGGTTATTTAGGGGAATAAACTTCCAGGATTCAAGTTACGCTATCACTTACCTGTAAGACAACGTTTTTGACGTCCTCGTCCGACAACCATGGGGGCTTGTAGTGCCCTTCCGTGTACGAATTTATAGAACCTGCATGATTGAAGACAAATTTCGGCGTCTCTCATAATCATATAGTGGTTTTGGGACGTTAAACCCCACATATCAATCAATGATTGAAGACAAATTAATGGTATGAACTGAATACGGCCACCCGCCATCAGACCAGTAATGCTGTTGGCATAAATGATCCACGAGTCGATCACAGAGATTGATTGGTGGACTGATATTGATAATGTGAGCACCACAAGCAATCGCTGAAAGAATAGATGGCATCGTTTTCTGTACATTCATTAGTCATTAACAATGCAGTAAATGTTCAGCTAAGTTTCTGTAAAGCACACGCATTCGAAGGAACATTGAACGTCGATCCCAGTGATCGTGACGAGCATGTACCACGTATGGTCTTGATGTGCTGTACGGCCATGCGGAGTACGGTCAACTTGTCCAGCTTGCGGGACATGGCCTTGCACATGGGCACCAGTGAGGCCATCTCGCCGATGTACATGTTCATCTTGTCCCGGCGTCGCTTCTCGATCTCGCTGTGGTTCTGCCTGCAAAGGGGTTCCACAAGCAACATCAAGTTCTCTGACCATTCCAGAGGCAAGAGAACCAAACTTTATAGTAATTAGAAATGTGGAGACATGCGGGCACCTCTTTCGGCTAGTCACGCAACACCTTTCACATCCACTGATATCCAACACCGTGACCCGTGCCGGAGCGCAAATACACAATGTGTACCAACAGTACAATTCCCGGTTTCCTGTGTCGACGTATTGCCAACTGGACCAAAACTACCCGCCATGGCTGCTTGAGCTACCAACTATTGAAACGTCAATAGAAGGACTTCACTGGTACCAAGGATGCACTCACGTCGTCACTGATGGCTTCGTCACCAAAGTGACAGAGACATCAGCATTTATAATTCCGGATTTACACGAAGAATATGCATGTCGGTTGGGCCACCTCTCCTCTTCAACAACGTCGGAGCTCGTAGCGATTTTGCTAGCCATGAGCTTTTTTAAACTGTCAACGACACCAAGAAAATGGGTGGTAATTCAGACTCTCTGGAAGCACTCGCATGTATGGAAAACGCCACTTCAAGACACATTGATGTGCGTATAGTATACGCTAAACTAAAAGAGCTCTCAGAAGCTACGAAGTCGAATCATCGAGTGGCGTTTCAGTGGGTTCTCAGTCACTGCGGAATTAATAGAAATGGAATGGCGAATGAGTTGGCGAAAACCACTCATAATTCTAAGCAAACGCGCCTCATTCCGGTATCTTCTATAAGCACAGACCATAGTATATATATATATATATATATATATATATATATATATATATATATATATATATATATATATATATATATATATATATATATATATATATATATATATTATATATATATAAGGGAAAGAAGTGTATACCTAAGGGCTCGTTTTTAAAACGAGCCCTTAGGTATACACTTCTTTCCCTTATTTCATTGAACGAGGGTCTCGTACTGGCAGACTTGGTGTGTTTAGGTTGTATAAGAGGGACAATTAATCAGCTGCCCACTCATAATAAGTTCACGTGCTACGTGACGCCAAACATGCGAATAAGAGTGTTTTCACACTCGTCGTTTGGCTTATAGATGGCGCTGACTGTCACTCCTACTTCTAAATTCACATATAAACCCAAAAAGTGGATGGAGGGAAGGCCGCTGTGGTAGCTCAGTGGTTAGAGCATCGAACGCGTTATTCGAAGGTCGTAGGTTCAATTCCTGCTCACGGCTGGTTATTTTGTCATCCACTTTTCTTTCTTTTTTCTTCTTATTTACATTCTATTGGTTCTAATAACTTCCCCTGTACATTCCTTGGCATTACTGTCTGTTAGATCTCATTAATATATATATATATATATATATATATATATATATATATATATATATATATATATATATATATATATATATATATATATATATATATATATGCAAGAGCTTTAGATAATTTGTTGCATTACGGGTGTGAGTGTATGTTTCGCATATACTCGTTTTCTGCGCAACTCGTACTCGTAGAGCTACCGATGCTGAAATTAAGCTGCCGTTATTTTTTTTCGCATGTGTGTATATATACACGCAGGCACGTGCGTGTCTGTATGTTCGTGTGTATGTATCTCACGTTCGTGTCTTCGTAGCGGGCGTAGTGTGCGTGCATATATCTGCTCTGAATATATACTACTGCCTACACAATCAAGTGAATTTTAGGAAGCACACTACCTTATTCATTACAAATCTAACAACATGAATCGGCAAACGAAAAGGAAGAAGCACTCATATCACAATCGAAACTACGATTTGCCTTATCTTAAGATACACTGGCCCAGGCATAGCTCCGTTCTGTAATTAAGTGAAGGGCATGCGTATTCCGCTTTTGACGGAAGAACAGAACTCAACAGGATACATGCAATCCGCAGCGCGAGTCGCGGCGTAGTTCACCTCAAAACTGCCAAGGTCTTACCTGTAGCAGTGTAGCAACACAGGGCAAAAGTGCTAGCGCCTTTCGGATAGGCCCGCTACGCATGAACATTTTGCCTTATTCAACCTCGGGCTCGCTAGACAGGCCCTTCAGCTTGAAGCAAATCTGATGTGGCGCGCCAAAGAGGCTCGAAGTTTGCGCACCCAGCGCAACGCTACTATTTCCGCTGTTTCGCCAGTGAAATCCTTTATTCCGAAAAGAATGATGCGGTCCGCGACCACCACCTTTTCGCCTTCGACGAAACAACGCGATCCGACGCCGCAATCAAAAAAACTTCGGCGCAGCGCCAAGCGAAAATGCCGCGTCGACCCCATTCAGCGTATCCATCTTTGTTTTTTCGATCAGTGTTGTCAGCACACAGCAGGTTTTCTGGAGTTGCGAATAGCAACTATGTGTTGGCTTGCTTCAAATGGGAGACGGCATCACAGCGACAATATAGTACAGCGCTTGTTCAAAAAGCAGTCGTCAAGAGATAAGCTTTCGTTGATGGTACGGTTACCAATCTATAAATAACCGCATTGTCACAACAAAAATGAGAGGGATTAGCGAAGCTTACTTCTTGGCATCCTCGGCCTCCGACCTTGCAGCTCCGGCATCCTCCTCTTCTCCGTCCTCCATTTCACTGAAGCAAAAAACGCTAAACATCATAATTGGGCATCGCTTTGTTGGTGGTAGCACATACGGATTGGCCACCATTCCGTTACACGAGCAATAGTGACAGAAAAGAAGAACAGCAGTACGCTTGTTTCGTTTCGTTCTGTTGTTATTGAGCAATTTTACGGGGGCCAACCCAGCCGGACAAAGTTCCGGCGCAATCAGTCGGAGCAATGACGTCATTACAAGCAAGCCGTAAAAAATGACGAGTTTTCAACGAAGCTCGCGTATTAGCACGTGACACTTTCTATTATGTTCGCATTCCACGTTTACAACAAGAACTGTTCTAGTCTTGACAAATAAGAACCATATAAACGTATACACAAATGAAATCATTCTGGTAGGACGTAGTGTTACCACTTCTCTAAAAGGAATGTTTTGATGCTATCTACAGGATAGAACTATTCTCCAGTCTTTGAAAAGAATGCTGTAGCACCTGCTGCAGGTCTGAAAGCAACCTGTGGTCATTCCCTCTCATTCAGTGCAGAATACCATTAGGTTACCTTTCAGTTCGCAGAAGCAAAAAAAAGGTATGACTTAAAAGAGAAAAAAAAATGTGTCGGACCTTCTACTGTTGGCATGCTCAAGTATGTTGTGAAATAACAGTTTCGGATTAAAGGGGTACCTCAACGTCCACAACGTTCTCTTCGCGCTGGCCTCGCTTGAATAATGGGCTCTTGAGTCCATCTTACCGCTTGTCTGAGTGGACGCTCAACGTAATGTCACCCACAAACCTGCGAGGAGAGCACCAAAAGTAACACCCAGGCTGACTGAGCTCAACTACGTGTTCTGTGCTCAGAACCAACTTCAAGTATAATACTGATATGTCAGCATTAATATATATAATATATGAAGTATAATACTTCAAGTATAATACTAATACTGACTTCAAGTATAATACAGCGCGGGCTCTCCTCGTATTTGCACACGCGTTGCAATCAGAGCACATGGTATTATTGAAACATGCACGTGTGTCAACCTGGCTACGCACACATGCGCGTTGAAGTGAAAGCGAAACATATTCTTTGCGTTATGTATAAGCGCCGCGAGTCGACTGCACGTGTACCGTTGTTGTGGAAGAAAATGGCGTGGCATTGCTTTCGGCATACAAACACGTCATCTGCTTTGTGAAACCGAACGTTAATAAACACTTAAACGCTGGGCATAGACGTCATACTAGGTAATCAATTGTCTGCGATACCTGTTTTCGAATTGATATTTTTTTTTGTCCGGGAAGGTACTCCTGCTCACAAGTGCTGCAGAGAGTGAAAAACTGAAGGGGTCAAATACTTCAGAAAGGAGAGATGAAAAATCTTTGGACACGTGTGTCGCCGAAGCCGACATTTCAACAAGTGTCTTTCTTCTTCAAGGCTTCAACTGCATACCTTAGCGTGTGTGTGTGTGTGTTACGTCTACTCTCCACCAATCAATAAAAGCAAAAGAAGAGGAGAGGGCAAGTGAAATGACGAGAGGGGGGAGCAGAAAGGAAAGGACAGGGCACCAACTCACTTGCCTTCTCCTCTTCTTCTACTTTCGTTGGAAGAGAGTGGACGAAACTGCACACACACACATAGACGTGCCAGATATAGGCAGAGGCTGCTATGAAGTAGACACTCGTCGAAACGTCAGCTCCAGTGACACCCCGTGTTCAAGAACTTTTCACCTTTGCAAGCGCTCATCCCTCCCTGAGCTTGTGCCTTATTCAGAAAGAAGAGAACGAACGTACGGAAAACCACGTGAAAGCGGCAAAGAAAGCTCCCGTTTTTATGAAAACTCGCCAGCTTGTCCATTGTTTCATCACTGCGATTAACGCGATGGCCGTGAATATCGTACCTTTGAAACGTAAGCGCTTTTTGCAGCAGTTTCCAGTCTTGGAAGCTGTTCCGGATTGGCGATGCGGACTTTTCTGTCCGTAACGTCTGGCTGTTTACTGGGCGGGGGCTAGGTGGTCCCCGCCTTGATGCCGCCGGTGGCACGGCAACCCGACGTTGCTCGGGTGGCCAGCGAGCTGTGGTGGCCACGCCGCTCAGGTGGTAGCCCCGTCGCTGGACGCGCTCGGCTGTCCGGGGCATGGCATCAGGGCTGCCGGAGGGCACCCTACTTGCTTACTCAGGGCACCAGGAACGACCGGACACGCGTTGCTGATCCTGCTGCCACTGCCTACGTGCGAATATAGACAAGAAACCAGGTCACCACCGAGTCCAGCAGCCTCTGATGCAAGAAGATGGCCCCTATAGACGCCCTGCATGCAGCTCTTTTCCTAGTAACTTCATTAAAGGAGTCGATCGCCTGACAAATAAATTGCCGCAAAAACTGATTTTTAGAATGCGTCCAGTGTTCGCGCAGATAAAGATTTATCGCACGCTCTAAGCACTTTGTTCTCAGCAAGCGCGTTGAAAGGTATACGAAGGAGGGGTAGAGGGAAGATGACAAGGGGACCAGAAGTTACGCCTGTTCGTCAGCGCACGCCATAACCTTCAGCAATAATACGGAAATGTGGGCTAGTTTTGGTATGAAAGCTCAAGCACTTCACTTTTTTAGCACGAAAGGGTTTTATGCCGGGGTCTACCACGGCTCTCTCTGCTGATGTATACTTCCGTCAGCAAAGTGACGTTGAAAATATACACTGAGAAATTGCAAAGAAAGAACCAAGGGACAAGCATCTGTCACGCGGAATCTCGATTCCGAGCGCGCGGGGCTAATTACTACGTCACAGAGCGTACATTACCTGGAATGCTTACGGCAAGCAATTTGTATACACGATACATCGTTTGGCATTTCAAAGCTTTGAAACTTTAGCGCGTTTTCGTTATCCGTGGCGAGATAGCGCGACAGGCTTGCGTTGGGCACGCTCTAAAGATTGGGCGCACGTTAAAGAACCCCAGGTGGTCGAAATTTCCGGAGCCCTCCACTATATACGGCGTCTCTCATAATCATATGGAGGGTTTGGGACGTTAAACACCACAAAGCAATCAAATAAACGCTCTAAAGATCGTCGCCTCCACGAAGCGCCGCCCCCACGGAGTGTGGTTTCTCCTGCACGCGTGCTTTTCAGACTCGTAATTCAAGAGAGCGCGAAGGTCATTTCGCACGCTGCCACTGCCGCGTTTACGAAAGGATTCCGTTGCTGAGACACGACGCAGGAAGAATTGTGGCAGTTCACGCTTGTCTTGCATATGCTTGTGGGTTCGCTTCGTGCCCCTTTTTTTCTGTTTGTATAACACGCTTTAAGAGTACAGCTGCGAAAGCTTTTATTACGCGCTTGTCCTGTGTTTGCTAATTTCATGCATGCTTTCTGCTTGGGGTGTGCGCTGCATGTGTCAAGCTGTTAGCCGTTCCTTACGTTACTTTGCAATTTGAGTGCTGTTGCTCAGCAAATGCACAATAAGCGCACAATTAACTACAAATTCCCGCGAGATGCAAAAGATACCACGTGACAAGCCCGCTGGCGCGCCAGTGCGCATGATGATTCTAGTGCTCCCTAACGTTCCGCGTACGAACGACCATAGAATTTGCCCGATTGTGCTGTCTTGACAGAGCCGCCACGATGGTGGTGGCTTAGCGTTGAACGCGTTTCGCTATTGGCTATAAAAGCGATAACCACTGGGACTGCTTACCACTGCCATGAGCCGGTGCGAAGGAAGCGTATCGTCCATATACACGGAATGTTATTAAGGAACCCCAGAATCACGGCGCGCATAGACACGCCAGTGTGTTTTTCACGTGGCATTTTTCGTATTTCACGGACATTTGTTATTATCAGAAAAACATCAATAATTAACAGATATAAAGCTCTAAACTTTCTAATCTGGCCCTCTGCAAACCGATGAACAACTTTCTTATTGGAATGCCCGGCCCATTTTCGTTGCTTAGAAAGTTCGTTAATAAAACTGCTTGTTTCAGTTACGCTTGTGGTTTGATGTATGCGCGCCTATGAACAGGCAATAAAGCAAAAAATAATAAAAGGGCTAGTTAGACTATTGATCAGAACACAAAAAAATAATCTGATTCACTACTCAGCAACATGCATTTGGTCGCGTCGTAATTTGGTGTGTCGGCATATTTTTAAACTCTGGCTAAAAATAGCTGTGGCACCCTGTATACTCTTGGCTTTTGAAAATCTCACACTAGATATACATTTCACATGTTAAAGGGTACTTGTGAACAGTACTTGTCTTGCGCTCCACAAAACAGTTTCCATGTTTCTCATCGCAAATAGTTGTGCGCACATTGCACTCATCCTTGTGGCAACAATGTTATGTTGTCAGCGCCTGAGAAACAGGCAATATGTGAAGAAGCGTGACCGGTTGCCCCGCCGCGGTGGTCTAGTGCTTAGGTACTCGGCTACTGACCCCCAGGTCACGGGATCTAATCCCGGCTGCGGTGACTGCATTTTAGATGGAGGCGGGAATGCTGTAGGCCCGAGTGCTCAGATTTGGGTGCACGTTAAAGAACCCCAGGTGGTCGAAATTTCCGGAGTTCTCCACTACAGCGTCTCTCATAATCGTATGGTTGTTTTGGGACGTTAAACCCCACATATCGATCAAGATTGACCTGTTGGCTGTGCCAGGAAAACGGAACGAACGCCATAGGTTCCCGCTTTGATGCGAGATATGTGGGTGGCAATTTTCTCTTTCCCCTCGCGTGATTCTGTAAAACGAACTAGCCAAGGTGCAGGTTCAAATTCACGTCGATTTCTCAAGCATGCCTGTCAACGTTGTCATGCGCTAACTTACAAGGTCACGCCACGTCCTAGACGGGTTTCCGCGAAGAAGGCATGCAATCACAACGCTGGCCACTGCCGTACTTCTTTTTTCTCAGATCAGAGTCCACGCGATGTCCACGCTCATCATGGGCCGTCACTGCCAAATGTTCCTGCCAGCGACCGCATATAGCTTTCCGTTCGTAAGCGCCGCAGTATCGGTGTTCTCTTGTTCCTTCCGCTGCATGCAATTGCTATTTTGTCTTTCCTTATTGTTTTGCTTGCGCGTTCGGACGCATAGAACGCGCATCGAGCGCAGCTGTTTGTTGAGAACGAGTCAGGACGACGTCGCTGACGTCCGAGAACACGTCTCATCGACGAAAGGTTGCTGCGCAGATCGCCCTTCCTCCGCGTCTTTTTGCGTGAGCAACGCAAGGTCGGGAACCACAGGCCGATCGGGTGGGCATTCTTTTCTGGATCGAAGAAAAACATTCCCGAGCGGCACAACAATGCCCCGCTGGGATGCGCGCCGAGGTGCTCGCCGCGGGCAGCCGTTGTGACGCGGCCCGATCGGCATCCCACGGAGCGAGCTCGCACAGGATGCTGCTGTGGCGCTATTGACACACCGTTGGTTGCTTCGAGAATTCTAGATTGCAGTTTCGTGCCCTGGGGGAGGGGTGTGTGATATTAAGAGAAAAGTAGCTCGGGGGGAGGACACTTCAACAGTAGCTCTCGAGGGATGGGGTTAGAGAAGGGATTAAGAGGATAGGATTAACACATAAGGAGATAGAGAGAGAGAGGGAAGAAAGAGCGATGCGCAGGGACAGCGAACGACAGAAGGAGAAGACAGGAAAGATGGACACGGTTGCAGGAGTCCGAGGACGGGGCACCACTGGCGAGAGCTCTTGTCGGCGTCAGGAGATAGCGTAGGGCAAGTCCGGTAGGCCAGAGCTACGCTGTCGTCGAAGATCGGCGTCAGGAGATGGCGTAGGGCCAGCCCAGTCGGCCAGAGCTACGCT